GTCTCGGATTACAGGAATCTTTTAGGATTTCCCAAAACTGTCTCAGACTACAACACTGTGGCTGAAATAGGACAATGTGACACAACACAACAATTTAACGTTGATTTGTTGCTGTCATTGTTGAAAATTAAATGGCTATCAACATTGAGCTCAGGTGTATACTGTTTACATTGATCGACCATAAGATATTTCTACAACAAAACCACGTGTGTCAAATTCAGTTGATTGCACATAATCTGGAAAGGCAGCATTTTTCTGTAGAGAAAGCTGAACCTTTGAGAAGAGTTTAATCTCCGGTTAATCAACAGAGTTGGCAACGGGACAATGTGAGTGATTGGCTGCGAGTGGCCCAGCCAGACCCCTGACTTACAGAAGGCCCTGTTTACACTACTACGTTTTAGTTTTAAAATGCAAAATTTTTGCTACGGTTACACCATCCGTTTACACAACCCCTGAGTTTTTGAGCCCTGAAAACAGAGCGTTATGGAAATGCTGGAGAGGCCGCTTTGGTTTTAAAATGCTGCTGCTCCGTGTCAGTGTGGATAGGGGAAAAGGGAGACATCTGAAGGCGTGGCTGCAGACATTCTGATTAAGGCTTTTCCTCAATATTAAGTACACAAAGTTCAGTCTTGAATCCTTTTCTTCTAAGTTCAGACTTCACAAGTTTGATATGAAAAACAAACTCCCGAGGACACGTTAGGTAAATCTTCAAAGGCAACAGTGTACATTAAACCCAGTGTTAATAATTTATGCCAGAACACGCCGGCACCTGATTTTATAGATCCCCCTCTTCAACCGCCCTCCTATAACATAACTGCCTCCTTTCATTTTCATTAAAAAATATGAAACATACCCTGTCTCTTTTGCTGAATATCAGTTTTAATAATCAAAAATGGAAATCAATACTACAATACGTTTATACAATAGGAAATACTTTAAAGGCAAACAATCGCTCATTATGCAAAATCAGTGTACATAAATTATTATATTAACTTATATTTGGCTCAGACAAAACACGTTACCTGAGAACAACTAATAGATTCAAAATACAGAAGAGTCATTAAAGGCAAGATGAATTAAATATCATGTATAACAACTATAGTGAGATGAGGGTCCAACGGTAGATGCTTGATGAACTGTCTGACGTGCGCTGCTCTCACCTGAGGAGGTAGAGCACCCGCTGATTGCCTGGAGCTCAGACCATACCTGTCAACCCTCCCATTTTTCCCAGGATTCCGCTATCATCCCGTAAAGGTATTTTCCTGTATTTCTCCCGTATTTTCAGTCTTTCTCTAAACAGCCGAGCCTCCCTATACGCAACCCATACCGCCGAACAAACCAAGGGTCGCCACATGCTCTAAAACGTGAGTCTTCTGTGCTTTCGCTTTGTTTAGGAATGAAAACACTTATAAATAAATACTAAAAACGGCGCGATTCCATTTCCTTTTGATTACAGGTGCCGTTGCCCATCCTAAACAATCCTCAAAACAGTCATATAATGTTGCATCCCTTTTTATGGTGGGCATATCCCTTATTTTCACATCCCAATGTTGACAGGTATGGGTATAGGGTGAATGGAAAACTTTTCAGAAACGCTAGGTAAAACACCAGTGTGGATGTGGTTCGTTTTCGTTCTAAAATGCTGTTTTAGAACTAAAACGCCTTAGTGCAAAAACGGGGCCTTAAACTCAAGTAAACATCTCTGGAGAGATCTTAAAACTGTCAGTGCACCAATGATACCCCATCCAACCGGATGGAACTTAAGAGGTACAGCAAAGAAGAACTAGAGAACCTGCATTAAAACAGTTGTGACAGGATTGCAGTGTCATACTCAAAATGACTGTAAGCTGTAAATGGTGCAAAGGCAGAGATTTGGAGAGATTGGCAGACAAAGTTTTCATTGGGGAGTATTGTTTGTAGAATTTTAAGGAAAATAATGAATTTAATACATTTTGGAATAAAGCTGCAGCATATTAAATTGTGGAAAATTAAAGCTGTATAATCACTTTCAGGATACACTGTAAATGCACTATAAATGCATAGTGTTTTTCGACTTAATTTTTTCTAAAGTATTCAAATTTAAATTTAAATGATTTAACTATTATCTCAATTTTATACAATAATAATAATAATGATAAAGTAATTATTTCATGAGACAAAAAACAAAAAACAAAACAAAAAAAACACTAAGAGTTTGTTAACAAGTATGCAGTATTAAGCCAGAAAACAAAGAACAGCAATGTAACAGTTAACAGTCAATGGTCAAACAATTTAACCATGTTACTTATTCATGCCTCAGTGCATTTTGGGAATCCCAGCACTCTGGGGAAATCCGTATCTCTTCAGTTCATAAATTCTTTTAGAAGTTATAATAGAAAGCAGCTTCTATATATACATAGCTTATATATATACACACACATGTTATAGGATAATATATAGTTTTATTTACAATGGAAGTAATCTTTTGGATTCCACATATTGAATAAATCATACTGTAAAAGTTTAAAATATTAAATTAAAAGATTTTAATTTATAGGAATCACTTTATAATGTCAATAGAATAAGCTACCTTTAAAAAGTTCTTTCTTTTACAATATCAGTGGCTTCCTCAGAATGGTATGCAGGGTTAGCGCTTTCCAGATTGAGATGATGCGAGTGATAAAGTGTGGGTGGAGATATGGAACTTGAGCAAAACAACCACTGCTCCTTCCGTCAGACATGCACTATTTCTGTAAATAAAGCACTCTGAGCTTCATTCAACCAGTAGCATTCATTGATGCATAAAACAATTGCTGTATAGTTTTCTAAGAACCCAGCAGGACTCCAAAGGAGTAATTAACAAGCTGCTAATTAGCCACTGAAATGAAACCCATAGAGGCTATGTATAACTGTTTATGAGCTGGTGAACTGCTAGACTAATGAAAAAAGTCCACTGTTGCCAGTTGCCAGTTAAACAATGATGAGCTTGTACACTCATTTATTATAATTAACCATTAACCTGCGCATTATGTGTGAAAGACAAGAGTACATGCTGGAGGAGTGTTCGGATGGCCTATTTTAAGGACATTTATCTCAACATCATGACATAACATTCAGTATCCGTTTGACACTGTGTGTAACCTTGATGAATATAGATACATTTTCTTCATGGCATGCTGCTTAATGGAGGCTTGAGACACAACGGAGCCATACAATATTTATAGAGCTCAAAGTAAAGCCTCTTGGAGTGAAACATTTCATTTTTGCTTGCTTCTAATAAATATTCTTGCTAATAATTAATATTAAGTCTTTTAATAGAAAAAAATGTATTTTAATTAAATTGATGCTTAAACATTATCATCAAACTCAAAATCAAAATGTGACAAAGATATTTTTAATTTCTTTCTAAATACTGTAGATCAAGTAAAGTCTGTTCTTTTCAACCTTCTGTTTATATAACATTTTAAAATTTAATGAAAGTTTCTACAAAAGTATTAATGTAATATTATTATCATTATTATTATTATTAAATGAAAAGTAAATGTTTCTTGAGCAACAAATCAGCATATTAAGGTCCATTTGGATGGGACTAGTTTTCTTCAAAGGTTAATTTAAGTTTCACAGAATAAAACATTCTTCGTCAAACTCAGAAATCCTAAACCTGATTCTAAGATCCTAATCCCATTCGTGTTTTGGGGTATACATAAAGCATCATAGCTCTGACTAGCACAAGTTTCTTTGTTTGTGCATGTAACCTTGATTACAATTAATAAAGGTAACCACAAAGTAATCATAGTTTTGTTATACTACCCCTATCTTAATCATAGTATTTGGGTTAAAATTGTGACTAACGGTTATAAAAAAGTTATACATTTTAAAACCACTTCTTAATCTTATTGGAGTCACTATAAATAGCCAGTTCTATAAAATCCTGGAAAGTTTAGGTATGCTCCTCCTTTTGAGACGAATCTGTAAGATTTAAATTAAATAAATCAATAAATTTTCCTTTTTAATTTTAACAAATTTGATTATATTTTAATTTAATCAATGAGTATGTTAGTAAACAAGCACCTCACATTAGCTATAGGGGGAGTGGAAAGACAGAGATAGAGCCAATTTGGTCAGTTACACCTCAACTATTTACGAGAAGTGCCATGGAATTTTTTAATGACCAGAAAGTCAGGACCTAGTTTAACTTCTCATTCAATAGACAGCCCTCACTGACAGTATAGTGTCCTATTCACTTTACTGGGGCATTAGGACTCACACAGACCACAGATTGAGTGCCCCCTGCTGGCCTCACTAACACCACTTCCAACAGCAACCTAGTTTTCTCATGTGGTCTCCCATCCAGGTACTGAGCAGGCTCAGCCCCGCTTAGCTGCAGTGAGTAACCGGTCGTGGGCTGATATGTCTTTGGCCAGATGAATAAAAAATCAAAAACACATTTCTTATTTATCACTTATTAGTTGCGTATTACATCATGAAAAACGAAATAAACTGAAATTTATTAACAAATAATACATTTATACATGTTTTCTTGCTCTAAAAAGGTTAAAAACAAAGACATTAAGAAAACTTGATAAAATTATGTAGTAATTAATTAGTTAAAATGAGTCTTAAAATGTTTTAAATCTCTCCTGACACATATTTTAAACTTTATTTTCCACATTTTTTTATTGTATTTTGCATTGTTAGCTGTGTATTTGTGCTGTTTTCTCGGTTGTGATCCTTGCTTGTAAAACTTACGCTTAAAGGCATTGTACAAAACAAATGATTATTTTAATAAAATTTAAATTATGTAATAGCAGTCTTTTATTTTAAAAAACTGCAGAATCAGAGGAAACTGCATAACGAGAACAGCCCCATCCCTTGTCTAGCATTTAAACTACATAACCAGAAAAAAGAATTACCTCCAACATGAGTCATGTCAGTTCACTTGAGCTGCACAAATGAAATGCTAAAAAGGGATGTTTTCTCCTGGGGTGACAGATAAGTGGTGAGTGATGGTGGTTTCTAACCTGAGCTGCCGGTCCTTACAAACGGCCACCATCACCAGCAGGTTCCCCAGGACGCTCATGAGCATAACCAGTGACAGGAAGCTGATGAGAGCAACCCTCTTCGCCAAGCCGTTGCTGTGATAACAGAGAAAAGACACAGACATATTGAAAACAGTTGATCGGATAGAAGGAAGAAAATACTGATAAGTGTCACAGTCCTAAAGAGATTTAGCGGGACTGACAATAGCACAGACGTTTCAGACAATAGTGTGGCAATGATTTCTTTTAATTATGTTTAATGTATTGAAAGTATGTTTGATTTGCTAATTATTATATGTTGACATTTAAGTCACTTCAATTCCCATGGAAACAGCAGCGTAAGAGAAGTGGACAGGAATAGAAAGTACATTGCCCACTCAGTGAGGTCGGAAAAAAAAGACAATTCCTTCTTGTGAAACAGATTTTCTTTATGTTACTGATGACGTGAATCTCACCGACATTGTTTCGAATGAATTGTGCTGTAATGAATAAAAATGATGCTTCGAACATTTCTGTTTCTGATATCAGTGTTTGTCTGCAGTTTCTTGTTTCTATGTGTTTTTTTGCACTTGTAAATAAAAACATAAAAAACTACAATAACGATGCTATAAAGTTTAATATTTGATGATAAAATGCATTGTGAGAATAGAGTACTAGTTTATATTAGCCATACAAAAATACAGTAAAATATGCTTCGTGTAAAACCTCCAAAATCTAATTTTAAATGTATTAAAATAGCAGCTATTTTAATTGGCAACAATATTTCACACTTTCGCTGTATTTTTAATCAAATAAATGGGCCTTAGCGAGTATTAAAAAACCTAATTCATTTCAATTATTAGTTTAATCAGGTTTGTTTAATCAGGGTTAATGATAAACTGTGCAAAACTGTGGCTTTTTGTAAGTGTAATTCACATCTTTGAATGGAAACATAGCTAATGTGACTCTATTCAAGCTCACAGTCAGAAGCGAGCCAAACTTCTCATTCTTGCTCTTTACCTCCATAAAATGTTTGAACATCCATTTCGTGTGAATAGTTGAATACTACACATAATACTACAGTATAGCAAATTAATAAAAAAGATATAATATATATATATATATATATATATATATATATATATATATATATATATATATATATATATATATATATATATATTCTGTCTGGTTCTTGAATCTGATTGGCTGATAGCAGTGCAATATTCTGCTAATAACAGCACTCATACTGCCTCTTCACTCTTTACCCTGGTGTATTACTCTGCCCACATAGAGCAACAAGCAGAGGACACTCTACAGTTTGACAAATAATGCTGTTGTTGGGCAACATTATGTACTTTGGAGGCTTTTCTAGCCGAGAACAGTTGTTTAGACTGCGACTATGCAGTTTTTGTCTTTATAATTTTTAGAATTTCGGAGCATCAGATTTAGTGCATATGCCACCTTCAGTCAGACTGAGCAGACCAAAGAAAGTGATGGTTGACATTTCGTCACAAGATGATGACAAAGACTGCATAATAGGTCCTTAAGGGCAAAAACAGCATTTTTTCAGTGTAAGTTTCAAACTACAGCAGAACAAATCATTATAAATCAGGTAATTGACATTCTGAGTCAATCTTTAAGATCTGTTGTATTTTGTAGTGCTGTATTTATGCCACAGAAACTGGTAGTTTCTGCGCTGCTATGACTTTTTCTGGGTTAATTAATGTGATATCACGATTTCTACAGAGAAATACTGGGAAATCTCTGTAGACTGATGGCATTTCATGTTGTTCAGCTTTATAATCTTCAAATGTCAGCAAAATCACCTGTTTTGTCGTCACTTTAGACATTATGCTAGAGAATCATTCAAATAGCTCTAAAGTGATGTTGGTAAAGTGACATCAGCTGCAGATGTGTATGAATGGTGGAAGAAAATAGTGGTGGGAGAAATTTTTCTCTCTCTTTTACGTTTGGAGCTCTCTATGTTTGATTTTCTTTTTTATATACAGAATTATGTATGCCTTACACCAGTGCCGATAAACAGCCATATTGCACTGCTACTCATGTGGTATTGCTCATATATATATATATATATATATATATATATATATATATATATATATATATATATATATATATATATATATATATATATATATATGTATATTTATTTATTTATTTTTACTTTACTTTAAAACATTTAAAGGGATGTGTTGTGGGCCAGAAAAATGGTTTGTTGATCAATGGACAAGACCATGCCATGCATTAGTACTGTAAGTATATTTTTACCGACAGTATTTTTTATATATTATAAAAATACATATAAGTATTCATTGATGCTATAATTATTTTCATTCGATAATAAATATTACTATATACTATAGTGAACCTACTTTATATTAGATCAATAGAAAGAAAAAAAGTAGAAAAAATACCTCTCACACAACCTACATAAACAGCAAAGTAATTCTTCTCTGACATCGTGTTTTCCCTCAAGACTGACACTGACTATGTAATTGTAGGCTAAAGCCTGTTATTGTGACTGCAGGCTCTAGGAAGAGGTATAACCCCCTGCTGCACATTAGACACAAATGAACGGCAGGGAATTTGAGATAACCGATAAAGACTCGGCTCAACCGCACAACATCTGACACTTCTTTTGTTCATGAGCTATAAAGCTCTGCCTGTCTAAACACATAGTGCAAATCTCAACAGTTATGTGTTGATTTTCCTGTGATTGTCTTGTCATGTCTAAAGTCAGTTTGTGGTTTCAAGAGACAAATTAGTGCGAAGTAGACAAGACATGACAGTATCAAATGCCAATAGTGACTTTTATTAACTAATCTCTTGTGAGCTGCTATTTTCTGTGACAATATATTGTTAGTTTCCCAAGTTGCCTATTATCCTAAAATGAAATACTCTACATTAGTTTTGTGTTTATTACAGCATGGCTCAAAACCACAGGATTCAAGTGAGACATGTCAATAGACTGATAATATAATGTTACACACTTTAAAAACATCTCTTAACACTTTAAAGTTTCTGTATTTAATGATTCACAAGCATACTCTGTTTATTTATGGTTGTGAATTGCATACTGTTAACTTTTGATGCTGAAAATTCAACTCTACAGTTTAACAAAGTGACTTTTATTGACAATTTCTTAGTTTGAAATATTATAATGTATAAGGAATAATACATATAGAAAAATATGTTTGTATAATAACTGGCAGAAAATGTACTTGCAGTTAATTACAAGATTTTTGTACCGTCATTTCCAACACCAACCTAGACAATATATCACTTTACTATTAAAAGTGTCAATAAAAGTCACTTGTTTCAAATTTTTCAAAGTTAAAAACATTGTTGTTGGAAGATAGATCAAGGTCCCATAATGCAATTCAAAAGCATAAATGAAGAGGGGCAATAAAAATAAAAACACAAATTATAAAATAAATATAAAACCTGCTAATTTAACTGATATTTTTTACAGTGCGTGTGCCAAGAGTTTACGAACAAGAGTTGCAGTAAAAATAGTCTCTTGGGTGATGTAAGAAGATACTTATATGTCCTTCAAATTTGACTGGCAGGATAAAATGAGCACATTCCCCTAGAATAAAACATTTTTTCCATATCATTGAACATAAGCCTGAAGTCCATGCATTCTGCAATATTGCTGTCAATATGTGAAGCCATTAAGCTTGCACTGGATTGCGTGTTTTTTCTTGCAATTGTGAGCTTCCATCTCACAGTTCTGAGTTTTTTTACTGCTACTTTTTATATAAAAATTTCAGCTTTTTTAAATGCACTCATATCTTTCAATGCACTCATATCTTGAAATTCAAATGTTTTCTTACATGAAAGATTCTGTAAATTGACAGTAAATTTAAACTGTAAAATTCTGTGAATGAAACAATTCAGACTTGAACAAACTCGGAGTTGAAACATGTAAACAAAATAGAGAATTGGAAACTCAAAATCTAGTTTATGTTATGTTTTCTGTGCAATGTTATATTTATATAGTATATATCTTGATGCTGACATTCTGAATTGTGAGAAAGAAAATCAGAACTGTGAGATAGAAACAAATTTCCATACATCTGAATTTTATTTGGAAGCACACACCCAAAAAATCTTTTCAATGGCTCAATCTGACACCAAAGCATTTATGCACTATTAAACTGAAATGATCATGACATGTTTTGCTGCTTTAACTTATTTTGATAAGATACTTTTAATCATTTTAACTTTTGTTTTAAGTCGCTTTAAATTATGCAAGTTGAAAAGACCTTTGGAGTTAATGTGCTTCAACTTAAAAATTCAATCAATCAATCAATCAATCAATCAATCAATCAATCAATCAATCAATCAATCAATCAATCAATCAATCATAATTTAATAATACTTGCTCAGTCTGTAAGATATACAACAAATAGTATGCTAAGGTATATCACAAATAGAATATGCACAGAACCATATCTATGAATAAACATGCATCTATAAAAATTCTCATAATTATACATCTCATGTCTTCTAAACTGTTAAGTTCAGGACAGTGAGTATTTACTAAATGTTAGGATATAATGCTTTGTTTTTAAATATGTTATAATGAAGGCAAGAAATCTTACAGAAGCATTATTGCTTCCAAAAGTTGGATATGCCCTGGCTGGTTGTGTGCTTTAGAACACAGGTAATGGACATTTAATTAAATATGTGAACTGGATGGTAATGTTGACAGAAACAGGATTCATGTAAACACAACTTTCAGGATCTAAAAATCAGATGAAATGCATTCTGACTGATAAAAATGAGTGCATGCAAACATACCATATCTGTGCATGCAGGATGTCGCATGACATCCAGGCTATTCTAAAAATGCACAACATCTTTCAAGACCTACAGTATCTCTAGAGCTTTGCCTCATTCCACTACCCAGAGTCTTAAGTAAAAAAAAAAATAAATAAATATAAATCTGTCTGAATGGTCCCTAAGGCAGCATGTCCAATACAATGTCACAAAAACAACTTTTGACAAGCTACAGAGCTACACATTGGATGAAATCAGGTGTAAACATGTTCTTGGCAAGACAAAGAAAGAGAGAGATAGAGAGAGAG